AAAAAAAAAACAAAGCCAACTACAGAAGAACAGCCACAGCCCAACATCCCAGGCCAGGGCTGAAGGGCATCCCCTAAGACGCACCAGCCTAGGTCCCCGCACCCCAGAAGGCACCACATTTGGAGATTGGGGCCCTCAGGGAAGGGAAGATTTGCTTCCTCATCTCGGATGGAAATACTGTAAAGGCAAGTGTCTGTCCATGTGTGTGCGTGTATGTGTGTGTGTTTTTCTGCGATTGGGCCCCAGCCTCTGCAAGAGGTAATGGTAACTCATTTCTGAGCACCTGTGTAGAGCCCAGTCCTGCGTGGCACAGAGCTGTGTCACACAATGTCAGAAGAGCAGGCTTTGCATGGGAGTGAAGATGTGTGGGCCTGCTGTGGTCTTCCCCGTGACCATGTGCAGAACAAAGCCAAGGTCAGGACATCCGCTTTGCAGAGCCAGGCCAGGTGGCCCTGCCTGAGGCTCCTGGTCAGTCCTACATCTGTTATGCAGCCCGATGTTGATCAGTTTGTGCTCTTAAGAAGGTGCAATCTCATGTGCTGTCCCCAGCACTGCCCATGGCATTGCCCATGTCCACCTGTGGGTTCTGGACCACCCCGTGCACAGAGATGGGGTTCATGAGTTTCCTCGTGCAGCACAGTGCTCAGGGTCTGAGTGTGGACAGGGCCCAGGGCCATCACAGCCACACCCCCAGCTCTTGTCCTTCTTGTCTTGGGGGGATGGGTGGGAAGGCTGGGCCAGTGGCGATTTCTCAGGAGTATGGGGTAAACCTGGATGAGAAGGTACACTAGCTCTGGCTCAGTCTGTGCTGTGACACAAAAACAAGGGTCACCTTGCAGGAACATCTCCCTCCACGGTTCCAGGTCCAGGCCAGGGATGTGCTCACAGGACTCAAAGTCCTGGGGGAACCGCCCAACACGGAAGGCATCCCTGGGCACATGGGTGAGGCCGGAGTTGTCGCAGACGACCCTGGACAGCGAGTGCTTCCCCAGCTGCCTCCGCTGCGCTTCTGTGAAGACAGGGCTGTTCTCCCACCACAACCTGCACAGGAGGCGCGGGTGAGCGGCCGGGCCAGCACAAGCTGCTTCCGGAATAAGTGCAGTGGCACAAGAGCCCTGGCATCCAACTGGGCTGCTGTGGGCCAGGCCCAAGTGCTGCCTGCAGCTCCCACCTCCAGGGAAACAGGGACACTAGGAAACAACGCCTCACTGTCCCCTCAAACCACTGACTTCTGACCAAGGCCCCTAAGCTCCTGATGGGAGGCCCATAAGCACTTAGTTCTCTTTGTCATATAAGCTTCCCTTCCTACTTGGGAACAAACTCCCTTGGAATGTGATAGAGACCTAAATCCATGATGGATTGGGAAGACAGTCCGTCACCAGTGAAAAACAATTTGATTTTACCAGATGTCTGCTTGTGTGATTAGAAATATGGGAAATCGGTGATAGTTTGGTTTTAAATGCTTAGGAGACTTTGTGTGCCTTTCACTCTGTAACCACCCCAGAGATGACCTGCCTGGGCCCCCTACGCCTTGAACAAGGGAGCTAGTGTTTGAACCCAGACCTGGCTGCTCTCCTCCTGCCTGCAGGACAGGAGTTAGCCGCCTCAGGCACCCACCTGTCCCCGTCCCTCAGGGCCTTCATCTGCTTTCCAATGATGCAGGCAAACAGAGGGCCGGTCCGGGCCCCCGGCAGCAAGTCCTCAACGAGGCCACCCAGCCAGACGTCAATGTTGTCCGTGTGCCCGTACAGGGCCATGATCCTGTCCACCACGCTCCTGTTGGCGACGGCCCTGCGCAGTTCTGCCGGGGTCTGCAGCCTGGGCAGGCCGCAGAGCTCTCTCCATGCATTGTACCCTGCGCGGGAGGACGGGCTAGGCTTCAGACTCCGAAACTGGGGGTTCTCACCCCCTCCCTGGTGCTGCAGCTGCACAGTGCCTGCCTGACCTTCCCCGAAGCACAGTGACATGTCATAGCCCCATGTCACTGTCCCTGCAGCATAGCACATTTGTCCAGCATAGACTCAGTTCTCTCTGGAAGAGTCTGTGTTCACAGACGGGCAGGGGCAAGGGCAAGGGCTGAGGTCAAGGCTGGAGGCGGGGCCGGGGCTCCTGCTACTGTGTGCAATGCTCCAGTGCTCTACAGAGCTTCAGAGCAAGCTGTACCCTCAAGAGTCTGTGCTCCCCATCGGCCCTAGACACCCACAGGGAACACGGTTCTCCCCCCTCACACACACACACACACACACACACACACACACACACACACATAGGGAAAGGGGCACATGGACAGGCACACCTCTCCGGCCGGCCTGATCACCCCATGCATTGAAGACCTTGCACGCCTTCCCCTTCTGGGCAGGGCCAGAGAGGCCCTGCTGTGGTCTGGTGCCTGGCTCCTCTCTGTCCTCCTCTGCCCACTGATCCAGTGCCCAAGCTGCTCCCTCCCAAAGCCTCTGCCCGGGTTCCAGCTTTCCTGGGCTGCTGACTGTGCCCTCCCTAGGAACCCTCCTGGGAGCTTCCCAGGGCCCTACCCTGTACAGCTACCCCCTCCAGGACCCTCTGCCCCTGATCCCTCCCTCCTGCCCTCCCAGGCACCCTCTGCACAGCTCTCCCTGCACCCCACTCCTTGCCCTTCCCTTGCTCCCCATCCTGCCCTCTGCAGGCCTCATGCTAAGACTCTGCCTCCTCTCTCCCCTGGCCTGGTACCACGCAGTGCATGCTCAGCAATTGTGTGGTGTAAATGCACACCAGGAGTGCACGGAGGACAGGGCAGACAGCTGAACCCTACATGAGTCCAGTGGGTGAGGTCCCAGTGGGCTGGGGTTCAGGAAGGGCCATGGAGGCTGAGGGAGGAGGACGCCGCCGCAAGGGACACAGGATGGATGGAAAGGGTGGGACATAGGCAGAGGACAGAGCACAGGGCTCTGCAGGCCTGGGGGCACAGTCAGTGGTCGAACTGGACCTATGGTCAAGCGCAGCTCTGAGGCACGGCATGGTCTCTGCGGGCCCCAGGGCAGTGGTTTGGACAAGAAGGAGAGGAGTGGGGCATCCACCCTCCCAGAAACTTCCTGGGGTGCCAGGCATGCGCTTGCCAAGATCCACTGCCCTAATTCCTTCACCGCAGCCCAGGCTCCTCCCGCTGGGGTCTGAGCACCTCTGCAGTGGCTGGGGGCCACCTCTTTCGATGAAGGAAGCAAAGCCTCTGATCGCCCACAGCTCTGAGGCTGGCGACAGGTCTGCAGCCAGAGTTTCCTTTTCACCCATTTCTCAGAGGACAGGGTTCTAGCGCACCAAGGAGGCACCGTCCAAAGGGGCCACACACCTGGCAGGCCGTGGTCCCGGCCCCTCTGCAGGTTGAGCGATGCCAGGTCCAACGAGCCGGGAGTGGACAGCACAAAGAGCCTCTCTGTCAGCTCCTCGTTCATGAGCTGCTCGGGCACCTGCAGCTTGGCCGGCCTGGCAAGAAGGCCCCGCAGAATGGGGTCCACACCACCTGGACAAGGTCACACGCAACTGAGTCCCTGCTGTATGTGGAGAAACACCATAGTGATTTCTCAATCACAGGGCCCCTTTGTTCTAAAAAAACACCTTTGTGCAAATTCGTGAGTCACCGTGTGTGAGTCACACTTTCCAGAACCCCTCGGGATGCTGCTGGTGGTGGGTTAGCCACCGAGCTGGTGCTGACCATGCTGGGTACTGGGGACAGCCCTTCAAGGTCACAGGGAGATGGGCTCTTGTCCCGATGTCTTTCCCTTGGTTCTCAGAAGCACAGACTTTATGATCATTTGTTGGGCTCCACTTCGTGGAACAATGAGGAGCAGACGTGTGGTGGCCCAGGAGCTGTCGGAGACCCAGGGAGCCCATCCACCACCTGGGAAGGCCTGGGGTCCTCCTCACAGAAGCCCCTGACAGGAAGTGACCGGTTTTGAACATTCCAGGCAGCCAGGAAGAACACGGGGAAAGGCACAGAAACAAAAGATGAAAATAACCCTCCAGAATCTAACCAGGGAATTCAAATGTTTTCTGCTTCCAAGGGGACCTGGGTCATCAGCACCCTAAAGCTCGTGGGGTGACTCTTAGCCAGACAGCAGTGCAGCACTTGGTGGTGAAGCAAGCCTGGTGTCACGGGCCATGCACCGCCGTAAAAGGAGCTTCCTACTCCATTGTCTGCACCCTCAGAGGAAAGACCCTACACCTGAGAACTTATCCTGAGTGCCAAAGAACCTCAGAAACACAACGGGATGTTTCTGATGAACAGTTCACCTTTTAAGAAGCTTAGAACATATTTTACCCCCACAAACACTGATAATCTGGACCGTATCAGCCAAAAGAGCCACAGAGACCCTGTGCTGGGGCCAGGTTGGCCGTGTCAGCTGCAAGACCAGGGACAGGTCAAGTCCTGGCCAGCACAGAGGACAGGTCCCACCTTCCTGGATGAGCCTCCAGGGGCTGAAGAAGGCGTCCCCCAGCAGCAGCGGGGGGAGGTCTGGGTGGTCCTCGAAGGTGGCATCCAGCCGCCTCGCCAGTGGGTGAATGGTGGCATGGCCAAAGCGGAAGGCGGCCGTGGAGAATACATTGGATACTGTGGGGTTCACAGTGGAGTTGTAGCCTTCATAGGGGCCCACATACTGCCGGAAGGCATCGGGACCCAGGATCCTGGGCACATAATCCCTCAGGGTGATGATCTGCAGACACAGAATGGGGTGGGGGGCATAGGATTAGCCTAGGACAGCCAGGGCAGAAGATGCTTACAGTTAGAGACAGGGAAGACCCCCGCCTTCATAACAGCTCTTTGCTCCAAGTCATCGAGACAGAGCACTGCAGGAGGGAGGGCATCTCCAGGTAGGGACACAGGCTCCCAGGTGCACGGTAGGAGACACCCCCAGGTGAGGACATAGGGCCACAGGTGCCCATCATGATCCCTCCCACCCATTCTTGGGACCGATGGCAAACGTGGGTACCCACTCAGTGAGCACGGTGACCCTGAAGGAACCCACTAGTAGCGCACAGGATGACCTCGTGAGGACCCACTGGGGACGTGCACAGTGACCCTGCGGGGATCCACCCGGGTGCCTTATCCCCCGCGCGCTCACCTGGTGCAGAGCGCCCACCACCTTGCGCGCCTCCTGGTACACCGTCTCCGCACTCCAGTGCGGGTTCAGGGCCTCGAGCGCCGCGGCCAGGCGGTTGTGCTCACGCAGCCACAGCGTGTGCAGGGCTGCGAGCCCGGGGACCTCGCTGGCGCGGCCGTCGCCAGCCAGGAAGCAGGGCATGCGGGTCAGGCGCGGCGCGCCGGGCGCAGGAGCGCAGGCAGCGGGTGTGCGCAGCGGCGCGAAGGGAAGGAAGGCGCGGCCGGCATCGCGGTGGCGAGCGTTGACCCGGAGCCTCCCGGGCCCCGCGGTCCAGTCGCGCAAGTCCCGCTCTGCGGCCGCGGAGCTGCCGTAGACAGTGGAGGCGTCGAGGAAGGAGGTGAGCGCATTCATCTGCTGCCGCGCGGCCGCCGCTGACAGGTTGGCCAGGAGCGCGCTACGCAGCCCTGAACCGCAGGCCGCCGCCGAGCGAGAGAAGGACAGACACTGGGGAACCGGCGGGGTGTCGGCGGGGAGCTGCAGCGACGGAGGAGACCCGGTTACCTCGCTCGGCCCACCCAGGACAGCACCCAGGGACAGAAGACCCTGGCTCACATCCTGTCCCATCCGCTTGGGCCTGCCCAACTGCCGTGAACGCTATTTCTTTGCTTTATCATCTGAGGGACCTTCAGTTAGGGAGGACATGTGGGTTGGACGACAGTTTGCACGTCATAAATAACCTATCACAATTTTTTATTTTGTGCAAAATGGCACCAAAGCCAGAAGGCAAGCAATGCTGTATAACTAAGGACTGAGCTCTAGAACACGCAAGGAATATTCTCGCTCTGTGTGCAGCACGCGACAGACAATGACGATTCTGGCTGCTCCAGACCACATATTTGGAAGACAACCCCAGGCAGGGAGGTGGAGGTGGAAGTACCTCGGTGGTGTCCATATAATCATGGATTCACCTTCGGATTCCTTGCCCAGAGCCAGTGTGGTGTGTGGCTGACTGTGTATAAAAATGGAACAACTTCATAGAAATTGGGAAGACAGGGAGGCTTTGATTCACTAGTAATGTGAAATTCAAGACCCGTCTGTTTGACCCATCAGATCAGCAAGTTGTAAGAGTTAAATTAAGAGTTGCGGAGAAATAAGCAATGATAGCACCATTTAGATCCCACTGTGGCAGACACTGGGGATGTATCTGTCAGGAGCCCACACCCTGAGACCTGTCACAAGCCTGCTGAGGTCAGTGGCCAAGCCAGAATCTGAACAGTGCATTTGTAAACACCTGAAGTGGCTCAGTTATCCTGCAAGAACATCTGCTCTTTATCCATCTAGGTTTTCCAAGCAGATTACTTGAGTCCCGACTGTGTTCAGAGCCAGGTGCTCTTTCCTGCCATGGCCTGGCTACATCTCTCCCTGCAGAGCCAGAAGCGGGTAAGGACAAGGGCAGGTCCTGAGACCCAGCTGTCACAGCACCAGTTGGGTGTCAGATGCCTAAAACACTGCATTTAATCTACAGTCTCATGCGCCTGTGGGACCTGTTTGCCTTGGGAATATTTCGCAAACACAGATGCAAGAGATCATGTAGGTCCTTTTCTGGTTTTCACTGGGACTCAAAGTCCCATCCTGCCTCAGACTCACTAAGAACTTCCTGTCCTTTCCATCTGCTACCAGCACAGAGATCAAGCTGGATCCCTTTAGAGTACAATGGGGAGACTCTCCTACAAATTTTCTAATCCAGAAAACACTTTACCATTTGTATATCATTTTACAACATGACTGAAGTTGCACTGACTTCTGGGTATACCAGAGTTAAGCCATCTTCGATGACTCACATTTAAATTGTTTCTGGGATCTTGATGGAGTACACAGTTGCTCCACAGTTAGGCGAGAAACATCGCACTCTTTCTAGGGACCACAGACCTAGGTACACATAGCTAATGTGTTCCATCCTGGAGCCCAGCACCTCCTGATGTGGAAGACAGAGACTTTGTACTTCATTCTGCACTTCTCTGCTTCATTTCTCAAATGGCCCTGGTTAGTCTCGAAGTAAAAGTCAAGGTGTTGGACGCTACCTGTATGGGGAAGCAGGGGCTCCGGTTCTCACAGGCCAGCTGGCAGTCGGCGCTGCTGCTCTGTGGGGTGAGCGCTATGTCATGGTCGATGTACTGTCCCCACACCGTCAGGAAGTCGGAATACTGGTCATCTTCAGTCACCGCCTCATTTGGAACCCGAATCACTTGCGTCGTCACCTCTCGTACCTGGTGAGCAGAGACCAGCTCGTCATGACCCAGGAAGGCCCTGCAGCTTTGAAGGGAGGTACCGGTGACCTCTCCCATGGGGTTCTTGTCTCAGGCCCACGGAAGCCCTGTTCCCTGTGGTGTGCTGGGGAGAGCTTCACTGCCGGGCAGACAGACCCGGACAGAGCACCTTCAAAGAGGGCTTAGGGCTCACAGTACCACAACTCTCAGCACTGCAGACCCCTCAGGACTGGACCCATCCAGTGTCTGGCATGAGATGGGGAGGAGAGCCCACCCCATTTCAGGGAGGGTCCAGAGGGTGGCAGAGAGTGAAGGATGAGTGAAGGGTGGACAGGAGCCCTGAGCTGTCCTCTCCCCCGTAGGTTTCTGTATCTGCTGCACCCACTGGTCCTCCTCAGCTTCTGGGACACCTGGTCCTCTCGCTCAACAGCTCCCTGGAAAAGCCACCTCTGCCATGCTCATCTCTGTGGGATAGCATGGTCATGGTGCCCATGGGCAACTGGTCTGGGCAGCCCTGATACTGTCGTGTTCTCCGGGCTTGGCCCAGCGCCTGGGGTCAGGTGTCTGAAGGCTGCGAAGTGGAACAGGGCGTAAGAGCAAATGGGCCATGTGTGGTGGTGCACACCAGTAATCCCTGCATGCTGCGAGGCTGGGGCAGAACAGTTGCAAGTTTGAGCCCATCCTGGGCAACTTAATGTCTTAGTGAGGCCCTGTCTCACGAATAAATACAGCTGGGAGTATAGGTCAGTGAGAAGGCCCTGGGTTCCATTCTCAGCACAGGTGGGAGAAGGCACACAGGCTGGGTCAGCCACTGGTATGGGTGGAGAGACAAGGGGCAATGTGGGCCATGTTTTGATTAGTAGCCTGGGCACAAGCATGTTTCACAGATGAAGCTGCCTCCAGAAAGAAAGCAATACTCTCACCTTTACATAGGGAGTGAATGGATCAGTGGCTAGGTATGGGCCCGGTCTTCCCCCTGATGAGGAAACGCATTCATCTAAAATCAGTGAGGTGCTCATCCAGAGAAAAGGTGTGAGAGGGAGGCTGCTGGCTCCTGTCACCCTGGCTGGCTGAACCATTCCTGTCCCTAAGCTTCACAGCAACACATGATGCAGCTTAAGGACTGGAGAACCAGAAGCCCTGAGAAGCACAGGCTGGGGAGACCTGGGGGATCTGCCTGCACCACGGTGAGCCAGCCCCACCCCAGGCGAAGCCAGGCACTGCAATACCAACCGGGGGCAGCCGGAAGCCGTGGTACAGGAAGTCGGGATTCCAGCCCCGGGGCTGGCTGAAGCCATCTTCATAGGCTGGGGGGAGCCATCGGGCCAGGGCAGTGTTGGAGGCGCCCCAGGTAGGGTGTTCCCTGCAGGGCGGAACACAGGGGCTGTTAGAAATGCAGGGAAGACAGAACACAGCCATGTGGCCCGCTGTGCTGGGAGACGGGCACACACAGCCTTTCCAGGGAGGCGGGGCAGGGGTGCCAGGAGAGAATCCGTTTCCAGCGCCCAAGTCCACCCACCCCTTCCTGTGCCAGAACCACCTCAAGGTGCCCTGCCGTGCGGGATCCTGTCCACTGCCGCTTCCTAGTAGCCTGCCTCAGCCTCCTTCTCAAAGGTGAGCCTCTCACCCCTCCAGAATACACTGGAGGTAGCGTTTCCCGAGCTCAGATGGTGGCTGCTCTGAACTGTAAGGCTGTGATTCTGTCCTCAGAAAAAGCTTTAATCCAGGCCTTAGTGGTCCACCCGGGGCACTGTGCCTTCTCTTACCCGTGCCCTTTTCATGAGGACAAAGTTTCTGCTAGAAATAAGGCACTTGGGAACTTACTACATAGCTCTAAATTAGGTAGTCAAATGGTTGTCAAGGAAATAGGTATTAATTTATCAGAATTAAAGATAAAGTCAGGCTGGCTGTGGCAGTACAGGCATTCAAGTTTGAGCCCAGCCTGGGTAGGCTTAGTAAGAGTAAGAACCTGTTGCAAAAAAAAGAGAATGAGCTGGGAATGCCGGGCATGGTGGGGCACACCTGTAATTCTAGCACTTGGGAGGCCGAGGCAGGAGGATC